GAATCCTTTCCCCCACCCCATTTTCATTCCTCTTTAAGATAATCAAAATATAAAAGAGTCGTCACTTCCAGGCCCTCAGTCTATTTATGTCCTATTATGACCCCTTATAATGATAGAGTTCTGAAAGGATACATGTATTATCTCCTCCTATTAGTTCCTTATGTATGTTTGCTAATGTTTAGCTCTGTGTTTCTTGCCTCATGTTTGAAGTTTATATGCAGCTCTGTTCTTTTCATCAAGAATGCTTGGAAGTCTTCTGTTTCATTAAAGATCCATTATTCCCCCTACAGCATTAGACTTAGTTTTGCTGGGTAATTTATTCTTGGCTATAAGCCTGTAGCCTTTGCCTTCTGTAATATATTCCAAGCTCTCTGCTCCTTTATATTGGCAGCTGCTAAACCTTATGTGATTCTGGCTGAGGTTCCTTGGTATTTGAATTCCTTTTTTCTGGATGATTGAAGCATTTTTTTTTCTTTGACCTGGGCAGGATTTTAGCTAAAATGTCCCTGGGAGTTTTTATTTTGAGTTCATGAGGTGAGCAATGGATTCCATTTCTATGTTGTTTTCTGGTTCTAAGAGATCTCAGCAGTTTTCTTTGATGATTTTTTTGTCTAGCCTCTTTTTTTTCCCTTTTTTTTTTGTTCATGGCTTTCAAGTAGTCCAATGAGCCTTAAAGTATCTCTCCTTGATCTGTTTTCCATGTCAGTTGTTTTTACTATGAAAAACCTTATATTTTCTTCTACTTTTTCAGTCTTCTGACTTTGTTTTAAAATTTCCTGTCACCCTATGGAGCCATTAACTTCTATTTGGTCCATCCTGATTTTCAGGGAGTTTGTTGTTTGGATATGGCTTTATACCTCTTTTGCCAAGTTGTTAATTTCTTTTCTGATTCTTTCTTGCATTGCACTCATTTCTTTTCCAGTCCCCCCCCCATTAGTACTCTCATTTCATTTATACAAATCTTTTAAAACTCTTTTAAAAAAACGTTGCTTCATCTCTTCCATGAATTCTAGTTGAACTTGTGCCCAAGCTATGTTTTTTTTTAAGGCTTTGCTTGTAGAGGTTTTGGAGTTTTTCTCTCTGGATTTGTGTCTTGAGCAACCCAATAGCTTTATGGTGGGACTCTTAATTTGGTTTGCTCATTTGTATAGTCTATTAGTTCTGTATATATAATTAGACTATCATTACAGTCTATATAGATTTTGGACTTTATGTTAGGGATGGGCTCTGAGGACTTCTATAGGCAATGTCTGCATTGACTTTTTGTCTTCTAGATTTCTGCTGATACCTTTTTGGGGTATTGAGTATTGTGTTATTCCAGGATCTCTGGGATAGCTCATGCTGGGGACCTGCAAGCTTTCAGTGCTCTCAAGAAGGTCTCATCCTGGGCAAAGTCATCAAATTTCAGCATTTCAAGTTCTTAACCTAAGTTGGATTAGATAAACATACTTGTAACCAACATACTTGGCCGACATTGAAGTTCCAGTAGATTGCTGCAGGACTTAGTTACTACAAACCATCTGGAAAACTGCTGGTTCAGAGTGATAACACTTTAAGTTCTCTTCTCTTCTAGGATTCTTGCCCTAGGGTAAAGCTCAACTATTCTTCCTCTACTCACTTCCCCCATACCAGAAATTCTCTTTCTTTTCCTCCTGTGAAGATCCCTTTGGATCCTGAACTCTATCACCCAGTGTGTTTTCTATCTGTCCCAGATTCTGGTCACCTGCAAATTTGATAAGCATACATCATCTATGCTTTTATCCAAATCATTAATGAAAAAAAATGTTAAACACCATATGGCCAAGGACACATCTTTGGAGTATTCCACTGAAGATATCCTTGATGTTGAATCATTAACTACATTTTGTGTCTGACCTTCAAACTAGTTCTGAATCTCTCTATTAATACCTAATCCATCTCTCTCTATATCCTCCATTGTAACAATATATAACTTGAAAGAAGATTGGCAGAAATTAGGCATAGACCAACACCTTATACCATATTTCACAATACATTCTAAATATACAACCTTAATATTAAATATCCTACAATAAAAAAAATTAGAATAGAAGACTGCATACCTCTCACAGCTATTGGTAGGTGATATATTCTTTTTTTTGGTTAGGCAGTGGGGTTAAGTGACTTGCCCAGGGTCATACAGCTAATAAGTGTTATATGTCTGAGGCCGAATTTGAACTCAGGTCCTCTTGAATCCAAGGCCATTGCTCTATCCACTGCACCACCTAGCTGCCCCAAGGTGATATATTCTTAAACAAAGGACACAGGCAATTAGAAAAGACAAAATAGAAAACTTTGATTACATGAAACTGAAAATCTTCTGCACAGACAAAACTAATGAATCTAGGATAATCAGGGAAACTTTCAAATGGGAAAACATTTTTGTGTCAAATTTCACTGATAAGAATCTAGTATCCAAAATACATACACAATTAACAAATACATAAGACTAATAGCCATTCCCCAATAGGTAAGTGAACAGTTCTTAAAAGAAAAATTGCAAAGTATTTACAATCACATGAAAGAATTTTCTAAGTCATTAATAATAAGAGAAAATCAAAACAACCCTAAGTTTTTACCTTGCACCCTGCAAATTGGCAAAAATAACAAAAAATGGCAAGAGTTAACATTAGAGGAATTATAGTATGATAGCACACTGATTCATTGTTGCTAGAGCTCTGAATCAGTACAACCACTTTGGAAAGCAAATTAGAATTATGTAAATAAAATGACTAAAATGTCCATACCTTTTAACCCAAGGAAGCTATTGATTAAAAAAAAAAGGTCATTGATAAGAAAAATGCCCTCATATGCACTAAAATATTAAAGCAGTACTTTTTGTGACAGCAAAGAATTGCAAAGTAAATGCGCATCAATTGAGGAATGGCTAAACAAATTGTGAAATATGAATGTATCCTGTAAGAAATTATAAATGTGACAAATACAGAGAACCACAGACAGATCTACATGTACTAATGCAGAGAAGTAAGCAGAATCAAGAATATAATCTATACAATGACTGCAACAAAGTAAACAAATAACCACACACAAAACAATAAAAAATGAATATTCATATACATATTATGCATGCACACACACACAAATATAAAGATCAAACATGACTTGAAAGAAGAGATAGAAGAGGATGATCCCAGCTCACTTTGGTAGATGTGGGAGGTCCATAAGTGCTCTGCTTTGCACATGTTTTTGAACTTTTTCAATGTATTGATCAATTGTACTGATTTTCCCCCCTCTTTTTCTTGTCTTGAAAAAAATACTATTTGTTAAATGGGATGGCTCTCTAGGAGGGAGAGGGGAGAGACAGGAAGGGATGCTGCAGAATACTGATGATGCAAAAACCAAAAAAGTCAATTAAAAATATTTAGAAAAAAAGAATAGTATATACTTTATCAAAAGATTTGCTAAAATCTAAGTAAACTATATTTATAGCATTCCATTTATCTACCATTTTGGTAATCTTGACAAAAAAGGAAATGGGATTAATATGGCATGACCTGTTCTTTAGGAAGCCATGTTAACTTTTTGTAATCACTACTTTCCTTTCTAATTGTTTGCCAACTATCTCTTTTGACAGTGGATCTAGATTTTTTCCAAGGAATCAAAGTCAAGCCCAGTAGCCCATAGTTTGCATACTCTACCGTCTTCCCCTATTTTTTTTTCTTAAATGGAGACAATTTCCCTTCTCCAATCTTGTGTGAGAGGTATCACAAGATTGGAGTAGGGCAAATGTCCCCATTTTCAAAAGCAAAGTGGTGTACTGTAAAGAGTGCTGAATTTGTATTTAGAGGACCTGGATTCAAATCCCAGTTCTGCCATTACTTTTGTGACTCTGGAAAATCAGTGAATCAAGCATTTTCTTAAATACTGTGCCAGGCATTATGTTGGGATGGAGGGGTACAAATAAGAATGAAACAAACCCTACTTCAAAGGGAAAGTCACTGAATCTCTCCGAGTCTCAGATTCCTCATTTATAAAATGAGGTTGGGCTGAACGACTTCAAGGTCCCTTCCAGCTCTAAATTTACAATTCTATGAGCCTATGAAGCACCAGATTGGAAGGTCATGAAACAGGAGAGAATGTAATGATTTGGGTTGGGGATTAGCAAGAAGGAATGTCACTTTTTCTTTTGAAATAGAAGGAAGAAACTCACATTAAGTAACATAGCATTAGAACTGAAAGCGGGCTTTAGAAATCATCTAGATGAACTTCCTTATTTTATAGATGAGGAAAGTGAGGCTCAGAAAGTTGAAGGGATTGCCTAAGCTCATACCTCAAGTATGTAAGATGAGTCACAGACAATTGTAGAAGAGGATAGAAAGGGGGTAGAGAGAGCTAGAATTGGATGGCCAAGATGGCAGGTGAGGTTAACTGCTGAGAACAATGGGGACAAAGGTGGATTTGGGGGCTTGAGTAGAGAGGTTTGGAAGAAGCCCTGTGAAGAATGTGATAAAATTAATAAGCCATGAATAAAATAACTGCCTTGAATGTAGCAAGAACGACCTAGTAGAGGTTATACAGAACAGATCTGCACGGTCTAACAATTTTCTTCGGCAGTACCTAGGATGTTCCTGGTGTTCAAGGAACATCAGCTATAGAGTTCCCGGACATGGGGCTCCTCCCCTGCCTTCTTACCTGAAACCCCACCTACTCCGCCCCTTCCCAGACCCCGCCGTTCCTTCTGTGGTTCACCGTCAACAGAAATACTGTCCAATTGCAGTGGCCCTCACCTGGGGAAAGCTCCGAGTTGATCAGAGGGAGTGACGTTTGCCTAAGCCAATCAGAAAAGTTTCGGTCTTGGAACTGTGCCAATCCTACTGGGAGTTAGGTGCTGGGTGGGGTTGCACCTGGCTACGGTGAGTCACTCAGGATCCCAGGCAGCTCTCTCTACCAATCAAACCACACTGGGGCGGAGCACCAACCAATCGGGAGTGGCGGGAAGTGGGGGGGCGGGATCCCACCTGGTGGCTGTGGTTCAGTCTGGGCGCGGCGGTTGGGGAAGAGGCTACTCTTAGGCTCTGGGCAGCTTGGCCAGCGGCTGGGATCTGGAGATCCGATCGGGATCGGGATCAGGATGGCGGAGCGGGACGGGCGGAGGCATCTTCTCTTTTTTTTCACGGTGGCGACCCTATGTGAGTGCTCTGGGCTTTGAGGAGGGTCGTTGGAGCAGGATGGGGGTTGGGTCCTCCACCCCCTTCCAGGCTCGGCCCCCACCTGGGAAATTGTTTTGGCCCCTCCCCGTAGGCATACACAACGTGCTTCTCCGTCCCCCCCCAATCTGAAGCCCTACTAAGGGCTTTCTGCCTTTGTGTGTTCTCTCTCTCCTTTCTGTCTCTCTCTCTCCTAACACACACATACATATATACAAATGAGATAATATTTGTAAAGCGTGCTTAACACAGTGTTAGGCACATAGTAGGCGCTATACACATTCTTATTCTCTTCCCTTCCTCTATACATAACCTACATACACAATTGTGTCCACCCGCTTATTTCTCCCATATACTTATACAACCCAGTGAGGGGGCTCTGTGGCAGACCCACATATATGAGAAATAGCTCGTAAAATTGCCTTTTGTGTTTTCCCACCACCTGGCTGGGGTCACAGCTTATGGTCGACTGTGGGTTGAGAAGCGAAGGGGCTGAAGATTTCTATCCTGTTGCCGAGGAGACCTTTTCTTTAGCTAGTTGCCTGATTTCATGGGAATGCGCCGTCCCTCCCCCTCTCCCTTTTAGTCTTAATTCCTTACCATTTGAAAGTCATGGTTGTTGCTTCAGGGACCCATTTATTTCTAAATTGGACTAAAGTTGAAATTTGGAATTCCACAAACAGGAGGAACTTCCCTAGACTCCTCTCCTACTGTTCTACCTCTAGAGAACTTTATCTTTGTTGTTGACTAACTGACCATTCCCCTTGGGGAGGGGGAAGTGTTTGTTGATTGGATGGACTTTTTTCCCAGCCCAGAAAGACACTGCCCTTCCTCCTCCCCAGGGTCTGAGTTTTTGTTTCTTTCATAAACTCCCTTTCCTCTGGAACAATGGGAAACACTTTTGGTGGGGCCTGTGCCTTTAGATACGTCCGTTTAGGTTAGCTGTCCCGTTTGTGTGTTGGTTAGTCTGTGTCACAGCCTATTTGCACCTGTATATATGGAAATGAGTTATATGAATGTTTATCTGGCTTATCTGAGTATCTGTGCTTGCCTTGTTTCTTTTCTCGTTTTTCCTCTTTCCCCTTGGTTTCTTTTTCGTTTCTCTTTCTTTTTTTCCTTCCTTTTCCTTTTTCCTTGTCCTCTCTTTATACCTTAGAAATGTACTGGTTTTGCTTAAGTCCCTCGTGCCATAGCTAAGATTCAAGAAGTTGATCCCTTTTAGACAAAATGTCTTCTTTGAATTGCCAGAGACAATCTGACAGTAGCCTTTTTCTCTAGCCAGTTGCTTTAAGGGGTCAAAAGTTAATGAATCATGGACTCTTCTTTTCTGTCCTCTTCCCCTAGTTTCTTTTGCATCTCATGGGAATTCCCAGGCATTGTGACCCAGGTTGGGTAGTACTTTTTATTAGATGGCTTTGTAGTCTGGTTAGAGAATGGAGGAAAAGATAACCTAGAGAGATGAAAGAAAGAGGAAAGGACTCATATGGTCAAAAAATATTTATAGCAGCTCTTGTTATTATTGCAAAGAACTGGAAATTAAAGGAGTGCCCCTCACTTAAGATATATGAATATACTGAATATTATTGAGCCATTAGAAATTATGAAAAGGACAGTTTTAGAGAAACCTGGGAAGTCTGACGTCAGTCGATGTAAGGTGAAGTGAGGAGAGCTGAGGATAGAGGAACAGCTGCTGCAGAATGGGGATCTTCAGAGTAATGGGTGAAGTAAAAGAAAGTGAAGATTGATTTAGTAGAGTTGACTTAGGAGTATAGTTGAGTACAAGACACAGTAGGTTCAGAGAATGGTGAAATTGAATAAGGCTTAGAGTCAGGAGACCAGGGTCCTTGAGTAAATAAATCACTTTTAACTTCTGGATTTCCTAATTATTTGTTTAAAAAAAATTTCCTATCCTGCCCTACCTCACAAATTTTTGGTGGGGATGAAATAAGATAATAGGTTTGAATGTAAGATAGCATTATCAGGTGATCACTGCCTCAGAATTGAGACCTTTTACTTGGGTTCCTGAAATGGACTAGGGTGGAGAATGCTATGACTGAGATCAGTCTGGGGAGAGCATCATGGGATATTTAGTGGGTGAAGATGAAGCAGAGGGGAAGTGTATTTTTCTAACTCCCCACTGGTAAGATTTGGAAAGTAGGGCTGCTCCTGTGTTTGACATTCTCTCATTTGGCTGCTTAAAGCATCTGAGAGCCACTCCTCAGGCCTGTGTTGGCCTGTGTTTCCCCATTCTCCAACCCATCTCTTCTGCTTTAATGGGCAAAGATGAGTTCTTGGGGGGTTCCACAATGGGCTATGCTAGCTGAACCTAATGTTTTGAAAAGAGCAGAGTTCTCTTAGAAGGATACCTCACAGGGTAAGGAAGGGAGTTGAAAGTACAGGCTAATTCAACCAATGTTTGTTAATTGCCTATTATGTATAAGATACTGTACTAGGCACTGGGAATACAACCACCAAAATGTAATAGTCCTCAGGGGCAAGTGGAGAAGATAAATAGGCGTGCCTAAGTCTCTTAGATTGTGTGAGCTCTTTGGAGTGTAGGGATTGTGATGTTATTTATATTTGTGGCCATAGCACATAGCAGGTGCTTAATGTTTGCTGAATTAAAAGCTCACTCTCAATCTGGGAAGTTTCTTCATAGCTATTTTATGGAGGAAGGGAACCTGCTATTCTCATTTCCTCTGAGGACCAAATTAGAAGGAAAGGCTAGAGATTTAGGGGCTAGATATTGGGGAAGTGAGAGCTATGAACTAGCAGAACCAGTGACTAAGTGAGGTGGTTAGAATCTCCTTCCCAGGAGTTCTCCAAGCATAGGACAGACTTTGTCAGGCTGGAGTTCTGATATAATTCTACATGGGAGAATGTTTTGTGGCATTTAAGGGATAGTAGAGAACATGGGGCTTGAAAGAACTTGGATTGAAACTCTTATCTGTTCCATTTTGTGTAGGTCCTGGTTTTCTGTTGCCAGGCATTTCAGGTGGAGGAAGAAGAGCTTGTTGCCCGGCTCCTGGTTCTGTCTATCTGTTAGCTGTGTCCCCATGTTTCCTGTGCTGTATTCAATTTTTTTGGTCTTATTTCCTGAATTCCATGTAATTGTTATGGAAATGCTTGTTTTCAGGCTACAGATGGGTTCCTCTGGGGATTATTACTGGCTGGCTGTAAGATAAGAGATGTGGTTAACGGTTCATTAACTTCATTGCCCTCCTGTAGCTGGAGATGTGGGGGCCTGTCCTGCTCTGAACTTGTTTCATTGAGTGGGAGGAGACAGGACACAGATGCCAACAGGAATGAGGGGTTGGGAAGGTGAGTCAGTTCTCTCCCTCCCTCCCTTCTTCATTTTCCCATTCACCTTTGGCTATCCTTGAACAAACTTTGCCTTAAATCCTGCGGCAGGCAATAAAAAAGTAGGGAAACAAACATTTACCAATCACCTACTCCATGCCGGGAGCTTTACAAATGTTATTTCGCTTGTTCCTCATGACAATCCTGGGAAGCTGGTGCTATTATTATCCTCATTTTACAACTGAGGAAACTGAGACAAACAGGTTGAGTGGCCTTACCAGGGTCACACAGCTGGCACACCTGTCCAAGGCCAGTTTTGACCTGTTCCCAGCTCTAGCCCAGCACTCTCTCCACTGTGCCACCTAGTTGCCTCAATTAGGAGAACTAGGAAACATTTTTTCTCTCCTTTTTCTTTTCTTTTACCTGGTACCTTCATTCTGCTTTTTTGTTTCTATTTCCAATATTCCTCATGCTCAGGGACTAGTCCAATTGGTACCAAGTTGGAGGTGGTTTTTTTTAAAAACCCAGTCCTGTTAGGAGTTTTCAGCTTTGACAATCTGATGTAGGCATTTGGTTTGTAGCTAAAGGTTGTGTTTTGGGCTGAGACCTTAGATGATGGAAATGTCCTCCTTTTCCTTAACAGGAGGCCCCTGAATCTAAGGGATAGTAGTGGTAACAGTGTATATCCTTTCCCATGTTTGCGGATATGATAATAAGTCTGATACCTCTTCTCCCCCCCCCCCCACAACCTTGCGGTGGTGGGTTGAGGAAATAAGACGACTTGTCATAAGTTAAAGAGAAAAATCAGTTTCCTCATATACAGAAGAATTAGGGAGTTACTGTAAGGATTTAGATCTGACCCTGGAGTCTGTTTACTTTCCAACAGTTTGAACAGAACTTAAATGGTCACCTTTCACATAGGGGAATTCTTGCATTGAGTAGGAGGTTGGACTAGATAACCAAAAGGCCTTTTCTAACTCTGATTCAATGTCTGGCTCTGGTCTTGGTCAGGAACCACATGACAGCTGAGTGGCCAGCCTCAGGAACAGTCATGAACTAAAACTAGCCCTTCCCTGGGAATTCTGCCTGTGACTCTCTGCTAAGTGAGGTTTCTGTCTAAAGTCCAGTTCAGGTAATCAGCTCTCTAAAGTGGGGGTGGGATGATGCTGTAGGTTGGGGAAGGGCCGGGACAAACAGGAAGCTTGGCGCCAGGCCCAGGACTGAGAGTTGGGCGGGTTCTCTTGTAATGATGCCTGGACAGGTCTGGCCCAAACCCCCTGGCAGGGATGCAGGGAGGAGGAGCTAAGCAGGTAGAACTGGAAATTCTACTGAGAGGGTGGGATGGAGAGTGAGAGTGAAAACTCTAATTTTGCTGCTACTACCCCTCTTTGCCATCCTCCTTGGGCCATGCTAGGTCCTATGTCACTTAGTGTGCAGCCAAGGATGGACAGCTTCGGGCTTAGCCCAGCCTGTTGGCAGGCTCATTGGGTCTTCTCACGCTACTTATTCCTGCCCTGCCCTGCCCTGCCCTGCCCTAGCCCTACCTTGTCTTTTGGAAGTACCTATTAGCCTCAGACCCTTCTGGCTCAGTTGGAAGGGCTAAGCCTGGTTTTCAAGAGCAATATTTTTGCAGTGTAGTTAAGACATCTAGTTCTAGGGAGGTAGGAGTGGAACAGAAAGAG